CAATTCAGTCAATATACTATGAAAAAATTACCATATCATCGATCTCAAGGGGCTACGTACGTTAACTCAAATTTTTTTTGAACAAATACTGATCAAAACCATTGGCGAGGTTAACGGTCACCCAGATTATGTAGCTTTTTTCTGATTATTGCTTTTTAAATTCCACTTAAATTAACTGGAAAAAAAGTTACCGAAAGGCCCAGAAAACGCTGCAAATCGCATTTCCGAGAGACTAAAGTTCAAAATTTCTCGGGGGGGGGGCATGCCCCCGAACCCCCCTCGCAACTCCCGCCTGCCTCGGTTGGCCGTTTGGTCTGGCTACGGCACTGATTCCAATGAAACGAACACGGTGATTCCTCTTTTTTTTTGGTGTTATTTACTCGTTTTAGTTATTCAACAAACATATTTTAAGGAAACAAAAAAAATTTATGGATTCGAACCAATGACCTCTCAAACAACGGGCGGACGCTCTACCCACTGAGCTAAGGAGCACCTCATGGAGAGCGAGCCGGCCATGTACTAGGGTTCATATTTGACACGCTTCCTACATACTGCTTGGATTAGCGATGTCGATGTCCTACTGTGTGATGAAAGAATGAAAGATGGTAGTTCTTAAGCTCTGTGATAGAAATGTGAAAATGACATAATCAGCATGTCACCACAAAAAATTTATAGCAAAAGTTGTATTAGAATATCTGTATGTGGAGCCACGGGAGAGTTAGCCTGACAAAACACACGACATATCGCGACGCCAACAACGGTTTCCCCGCGAAATGACGTCAGAGAAACGAGCTTAGAAATTCCATATGGATGACGCGTCACTACCCAGATCTGGATAGTGCTTCTGATTGGTTGAATCAAATTTCAAAAGCCGCACGACAAATTAGAAACTCTACCCATGGGTAGTGACGCGTCAAAAGAATGGAATTTTTGCGCCCGTTTCTCAAACGTCAATTCGCAGGGAAACCGTTGTTAGCGTCGCGAAATGTCGTCTATTTTCTCAGGCTACGGGAGAGTACGAGATAATAATATTGCCCTTTCATTGTTTGCAAGTAAGGGTAATTCAAATGCCGCACTCCTTACGACCACTCCCGTAATTGAAGCGACCAGCTCTACGTAGTTACGACCACATTTGTGAAACCCCGTTTGAACTGTGACTTAAACTTTGTGATGAAAAGCTCTCGTAGGTTCTCCCTCCCTTGGCGACCGCAACCATTTTTGGGATTAGCCGGCTGGACTTCTCCTTTTTTTAATTAAGCTCTTGTAAGCGACCACTCAGCGACCACACAGAGTCAAAATCAACACTTTTAATCAAACTGTAAATTGCGCTAGTGGTTTAAAAGAATTGGACGTAACGTTTAGTCGTGTCTATATCAGATATAATGAATTATTATAACGAGTTTCTCGAGCTCTCGTATTAAAGTGACCACCCCACCATGCGTTCGCTTACGACGAGCTCTCTACGACCACTTTTTCGAATTTCCGAAGTGGTCGCTTACCGTCAGAGCCTCGACTGCACTTTATTGAAAGATAATAAACCAAACAGACCATACGTTTAAGTTTCAGTAGTATTTAAGACTTTTGCTAAAAAATAACAACTTTTGAAGGTTGTTTTAAGGTTCGAACATTTCGCGTTCAACCTAGTAAAAAACACTCAGAATAACAGACAAGGAGACCGAAAAGAAGGATGGTGATCCCATTTCTCTTTAGTACGGTTTTTACATGGCTATTAATTGTGCAAGGTTTGAAAAAAAAACTGTGTAGTATTTCCTTTTCAAGTGAATTACCTTTAAAATTTAGATACCAAATTGGTGGATTGAAAAATAACTATCGTTACAATTTTCAAGGCTTAATATTTTACTTAGAATTTCAGCGCTTGAGTAGCCAATTAGTAACGAGGCCGATTTTTAAAGAAAAACATAGTTTTCGTCGTTATGGTTGTGCGTTTTACATGACGGCTTTCTTTAAATAAAAAAATATAAGGGCGTTCTTGTTAACAGAGGCATATGTAAATAACAACTGGTGTGCCTTATTTGGTTTGAAATCAGTAGTTCCTCAAATATTGCCGATTTTTTTAATGGTAGATCCATAACCGGAGGGATGAACGGAAAAGGAAAATATATATTGGAATTGTCACAGTATGAGAAAGAAGTAAAGAGGCAAATATTTTCTCCAAAAATGTTTGCTCCCCAGGAGCAACAACTGTACACTACTGGAAAGAAGCGAAGCTGTAGTGTATTAAGAGAACCTTGTTGAAAAACTACTAAACTAACTACACTCAAGCTACATTCGGGGAGAGGCCTACTCACGACGCAAACAGCATTTAGAAACGTTGTCGTGTGAGTGTGTGTTAATTTTTTCTCTTTTTCGTGCATCACAAAAAAACACTTCCTTTTCAAAACGATCCAATGTGGTTGAATTCTGAAAGACTGCATCAAAGTTCAGGGAAAGAAAAAAAAATCGTTGTCTTGTGTTCAAGTCCTCTACAAAACGTGATTAGACCTTTTTTTTACCGATACGGTGGCCATATTGAATTAATTCGATTTAAGGAGTATTATAGGATGCCTAGTGGGCATGAGCACATTTCGTTTGTATTTTGGAGCGCTTTCTGAGACATTTTTTCTTAAAGTTCTCTTAGAATAAGATTGTAATGGGAAAAAAGATCCTTGTGCCGTGTTTGGATGTAATAATGATCGCCTTTTTCTAGTTTAGTATTAGAGATATGGTCTTTTACTGTATATTTCTCGGCAAAAAAGGCGATCATTATTACATCCAAACACGGCACAAGGATCTTTTTTCCCATCACAATCTTATTCTAAGAAAACTTTAAGAAAAAATGTCCCGAAAAGCGCTCGAAAATACAAACGAAATGTGCTCATGCCCCCTGGGCATCCCATAATACTCCTTAAAACGAATAAATTCAATTTGGCCGCCGTATCGGTAAAAAGGTCTATTAGGCACTTTCACTTCGCATATTCGTGCAGTGACGGCAAATAAATTTATGTACAAACAAGAGCGTTGTGCATGTGCAATGTTCTTGTTTTGCTAATCTAAACTTATTGCTTTTTTTGCTGTTGTCGTTGACGTCGACGTGGTCGTTGCTTAAATTTCTTCTGTGGCAGACGTGTATGCTTCACACTTTCCTCCCTTGATGCAGCTAACTATCTCTTCAGCTTTATCACGCCCAGTAAAGTACGCTCCCTGTACGTAGCCATAATATTCTTGACTGGTGCTCTCGCCTGCGAAGAAAAGATTCTTCAGTCGACCGGACATGTTTTCGTAGTGTCCCCAGCTCGTTCCCACCACAGGATCTGTCCATGCACAGCGCACGAAGGGGTTCTGTGACCATTTGCTGACGTGGATATCTGAATGCAACACAGAAAAAAAACCTTTAAGGTACACTCGGTATAAAAGATATATAAAAAATTAGAACTGAATTAATTGGAAGACGCGATATGTACTCATTGAAATAAGAGGGTTGATTAACGAAGTCTTACCCTGAAAATCTTCTTCAGGATCACCCAACATGGGTAAGAATTAGGTTCATGGTAAAAAATTCGTCAGTCTCGAACCAATGAGAGTCATCAAAGCAAAAGACGTCACGACTCAACCAGAGACAAATAGTAATAATAATAATAATAATAATAATAATAATAATAATAATAATAAGTTCTAATATTAAATAGTAATAATAATAATATTCTCACTTAATTGACCAGTCAGGCCAATAACCATGCAGACTTTTAAATTTACATTATAACTTGCGCTCGAGAATACTATACACTTTGACTCAGATAAAGACTTCCGCACTCGGATTGTTTCAAATTTCGTTCCCTTTAACCGACAATCCTGTCCATGAACACAGATAAAAGTTTGATAGACATTTCAAATCAATTGGGAATATTTCAATTTAAGGCTTAATATTGCAAGGGACATTTTTAGTAAAAGTTTCTTAAAATAGTGTTTCAGGTTTCTAATTTATATGGTGAGAGTAAGGACCAAAACGTTGCTACTTACCTGTCGCTTCCGGTATCTTGTTGCCATACATTTTCCTTAGGGTGTCCATTACGTCTTTCTTTGTTTTCGACTCGCGTTGTTTTTCTACTCTCAGTGCTTCATTCCCTGTTACCACTGTGAAAAGAACGTTTGATCCAGGAAAGAATCCTGGTCGATTCAGGTCGTAGAAAGTTGGAAAATTGCCTGGTTTTTGGGAGGCATGCATAATCCATTCATGATCATCCCAGAAATCGTACGGGAACTTCAGGAAAATCTTTGTGAAGTAAACAGGTCTAAAACGATAAATTGCTTCTCTCTTCCACTTAGGTAACGGGGGTGAGAACCTTATGAAATTACTGCCAAGAACGCCAGAACTAAACGTGGACAAAGCGTAGTCTGCGCTGAAGACCTCCCCGTCATTTGTAACAACGGTAACGCTGTCGTCAGAATACCGAATCTTTCTAACCGCCTTGTTCAGCAAGATTTTGTCTTGAAAAGGCTTGTAAAAGTCACTGAAAATCGTCCAGTAGCCTCTTTGATCAGTAACGAAGAAATCCTCCTCGGGAGGAAATGCCATATTGTTTAAGGAAGTCTCTTCCTCGCCAACACCGTATTCAAAATCGAGCTCAAACCACGACAAGGCCTTCTTTGCTGGAGTGTTTGAGCGCCAGCCAAGAAGCTTTAGTGCAACTGAAATAGGCATATCTCTGGGAGGATGATCTTGGTCTCCCCTTTCCTCGCCCATCTCAAACAACTTTTCGCTTACTTCCTCCCATTTTTTATACAGACGCAGATTGGTTATGTCTTTGCCAAAATCGTTTCTGTGAGAATATGCAAACATGAATTAATTAAAACATGTTAACATCAATTGTAGAGTGTATCTTCTATACATACAGCTATTTCGAGAAAGGTTGTCGAAAAAAGTGCACGCGACAATCTCGAAAGGTATTGTGGGTGGTTTTGAGTTCACTGTTCTTCAAAGAAATTTGAGAGAATGGGACGAGAGGCCATGAATATATGTTTGCAAGTGCTATAGGAAGGTAACAAAAGTAGGTTCGAAAGCTACAGTGTCAAGAACAGGGAATTGATCGTACCCCATATTACCTTTCGCAATTGTCGCGTGCACCTTTTTTTTCGACAATCTTCCTCGAAATAGCTGTATACTATACATCTGATACATCCCTCATGCGAAAGGTTCTTTCAAAATTTCAGCTATAAATTTGCATATTGTACTGAGCTCTGGTTAAACTGCTTCGGCGCATGGAATAGTGAGGCGCAAAATTTTGATTTTATCAAGCAACTAACGCTATGTTCACACTCTTTCCGGATAGCGTTTGCGCCGGCTCAAAAACCATACCGAATATAGTCTGCTGCACAGCCGTTTTTAGTGTCGTCACGCAACGCTCCTCCCCACTAGTTAGTGGGGAGGAGCGTTGCGTGACGACACTAAAAACGGCTGTGTAGCAGACTATACCGAATAGGGCTTCTGTACATGTTCACACGTGATTTCGGCGCCATTTCTGCAACAGAGCGAAGCTGCTACGCGCCGATCTCTAAAATGGAGAGTCACATAAATTCAGCAACATTTTGTTACCTATAATAAAATAGTATTGCCATAGGCTGCGCGTAAAAAAAATATATATTTAGTATATGACTGCCGAGTATCCATGCAGACTGATGTCCTCATGGACCATAAGAGTGCTCAATACACTGTAGTTAGAGTAGAGCAGAATCAATATAAGTAAACTGGCGGACTGGACTAAGTGGTCGTTACCATTTATTGCTACTCCGAGTTTCATGATATAATATTTCGTCCAGGTCAAGTACTTTTATCTAGTACATGTATTTATTATATACATACTGAGAAATACTCACCAAAAAGCTATGTCGTAAATTTTCGTACGCAAATTAGTTCTAGCCATTCAGAGGAGCGAACGATGGTTTTCACACGTGAAAAAAAATGATACGTCCAATCAGAATCGCGAACGATGTTTTTTCACGTGTGAGAAAAATGATACGTCCAATCAGAAGGCACAGAGGTGTGTGGGTTTCGCGCCAAAATTCCCGCCTTTTATTGCAGCTTGCAGCGCCGCTTCGCACACATTCAACGAGTAAAGTTTTCGTTGTCATTTTGCGGTAAGTGTGTAGCGGCAAATTTTAGCATTTTTGAAAGATTTAAAATAAAAAGGCCGCCAAAATGATGAATGTCTCAGTATGTATATAATAAACACAATACCACATGGAAAGTGCTTTGTACGGTATTTACGCACTCGTTATTTTTGTATCAGAAATCTTACTCGTTCGCTGCGCTCACTCGTTCAATTTCTGATACGTCAACAACTCGTGCGTAAATACCGTACGCCCGCACTTTCCATGAAGTATTCTCTATATATAAAAGGAAATGCTGAAATGCCTTATGCTTTGTCGGAGCCTGGTCTCCTTGAGGGGTTGAAATAAGCATGAACCACGCCCAGATTGGTCCTTCTTTGGGTTTCAGTTTCGATTTTCTGACAAGCATCCTCGTCTTTGCGGGTCAATCGAAACGACTGTCGAAAGTAGTTTGATTAACGATGTTAGCTAACTCACCTCATACAAAAGTCGCTATAATTGGACAGACGTCCTTTTAAGTTGTGCTTAACTTGTAGGGGTAGAAGCGGATTAACGTCGTGCTCTTCCGCAAAATGAATCCAGTTTGCTCCTTCTTCGATCTTCATACCAGCAAAAGGCACTGACTTCATCCGGCCACCAATGTAGTCTTGAGCCTCCAATACGAGAAAATCTGTGATGCCTTGATCGTAAAGTGTCTTGGCAGCCGTGATTCCAGCAGCTCCCGCTCCCAGGATTAAAACTTTTTTCCTTCCTCGTTCTCCAGGGTGGATAGCAGAACCATCAAGTTGTCAAACTGAATAGGATAACGGAAACAGCGAGGCAAAGACGCAAGTTGCACTTCATGTCGATCTACCCGAACTTGGACCCAATCACACAAATATCTATTGTTGAAAAATAAAAAGAAACGTTGTTAGCCTTTCGATAAGTACGAAAATTATCATGAGTAAATACTTGCTCGGCTAGAATACAAGAAAGTTGGACGATCAATAGCAGGGGAGTAGCGTGACGGATTTTGAAGGTGTACGTACGCTCGGAAGAAAAGTTATAGCGCCGAAGGATGCCGTCTGGGGGCATGTTCCCCGAGAAAATTCAGTGTTCAATTTAGGGTCTAGGAAGCCATTTTCAGCGTTCTCTGCAGAACATTAATTATCAGTAAATTAATACGTAGAGCAAAATGTAGTAGTTAGTTGTTTATAGAGTACTAAAGTGTGACGTCATAAAAATGAAATTTCTGAAATTATGGGATTTGTCAGGATATTCTGAAAGAACAATGTCCAAGAGGCCTACTTGCCAAAAATGAGCATTTGGGGGCAAATTGTCTCTGAGATCGTAGCCCAGTTATGCTTACAAAACTCCATACAAACCCTTCTAAATTTTTTTTGGGTCGACCCAAAAAAAAATTAGAAGGGTTTGTATGGAGTTTTCTGAGTATAACTGGGCTACGATCTCACCCAAAAATGAGCATTTCGCAGCAAATTGTCTCTGATCAGAGACAATTTGCTGCGAAATGCTCATTTTTGGCAAGAAGGCCTTTTGGACATTGTTCTTTCAGAATATCCTGACAAATCCCATAATTTCAGAAATTTCATTTTTATGACGTCATCACTTTAGTACTCTATTACCCATCTCTAGTGTTGTCGGTAAGGTACAGTGTTTACGAAAAAATCGAGGCCATGGCCAGTGACGCCATCAGAATTATGAAACAATAAATTTAAAGGTAACTGAGAAATACGTTACACAAAGACACCAACAGAGTGCGGAAAATGTATCATTCATCCCGATTTAACGATGAAAAAAGGCTTTTGAGGAAAGAGAAAGTATATAATTTTTCCATATTTCAACTGTACGCACGGGAATGAATGTTCATCTCACAATGGCTCATATAAAACTATAAATACGTGTGTCGCAGAACCTCGTGAGGCTAAAGGGAAAGGGTCGACAGAAAAAACAAACAAACAAGGAAACAAAACAACAACAAAAAGAAAACAACAATGTTCATTGTTGCGCTTGGGGGCTAGTAAGTAGCCTGTTCCAGGCGTTCAGATAGTAGAGAGCGGCGGTCATCTGAACGCCTGGAACAGGCTAGCTGGTAAGGGACCTACCCACTCGCGATCACTTGCGGCAAATGTAGACAGATTTATAAATCTCGCTGCGCGAGGAATAAAAATGTTGTATCAGTGCTTAGATTTTCTTAAAGCATGAAAAAGTTATAACAACAAGCGGAAATAAGAAGCGAAGAACCGTTTTCCTAAAATAGCAAATATTCGAGAAAACTGTAGATAATTACTTCACGTTTGTTGTTCCTTGTTTCCTAAAAAATGTAATGACAATCAAGGTCACTTTAACAAATGTGTGGATCTAAATTCGATTAAATGTTGTGCTTTTTGCTTTCACGGATTCTATTTTACAAACTGGATTTTTTTTTAATGCGCGATAAAAATATCTATTCCTTTTTGCCCGCGATTGCGTGACAAATTTGAATTTATAATTAATTAACGTCCGTTTAACAAGTCTCCCATAGTTTGTAGTAATTACGAGTCTATGGACCTCGTAAAAATGTCTCTTAAAATGGTATCGCCCATCATTTATCGTCCATCGTCCATCGTCTATCGTCTATCGTCTATCGTCTATCGTCCAGAATCCATCGTCTGAGTTTTAGCACATGCCGTTGGGAACGTCCTTGGACGAAAGCGCAAGCGAGCTCGTGACAAACCTGTCATTGCTTGCCTTTGACTTCCGGGTCAAGTGTGACTCTCGGTCACATGTCAATGCTCCGCTCGCCATTTTCTCCCTCGTCGAAGTTATTGACATTGTCAGTGAGAAGTTTGGTCTTTCAGTTGCTTGAATTGCAATGAATTCGCGATCCAACTTTGCAGTTATTTCCCTTGCTTGTTTGTGCCTTCTAAACATTTTGTCATCGTCGGAGAGCCGTTCTAGACGGGATACAGCTTTAGGTATGTTAGCTTATGTTTATGGTTTAGTTGCAGTTCCTAATAGTTCTACAGCAACATGCAGATAGCTCTAGCGAAGAACCCGAGTTGGTAATAAGCCTTAATTGTACACATTTGATTCGCTGTCAGCTGAGTTCGTCGTATTAGCATGTTCTCACTTCAAACGAGCACTTAAGGATCCAGTATGCGTGTCTTCCACGAAAAACCAATGTTAACTATTAACCGCGCAACAGACGCCTCTATGATCATAAGTATTACTTATCAAGTTAAATTTTAAGCAAAAGTCTAACTATAATTAAAACTGGGGTTGCTCGTAGTAATAATGAGCCATCCTACTTAAAGGTTGGAGCGCGAATCACGCTTTAATTCAGTTTAAATTGTTGGACCAAATTCAATAATAAGGAAGCGGTTGAAAACATTTTCAGTCTTTAATTGGCTGATATTGTTTTTGTTGCGAAGCAGTGTTTCGAGTCAAAATCTTCAAGCCATCTCATTGCATGGATTACATTTTCATTTTCTTTAGCATGATGTGAAAGTTTATTGAACTGAAAGATAAATGTTACGTACTTCATTTGTAAAATAAATCGTCGCATAAAACTCTAAACAGGTTTATCAGGGCTGAAAGCTAAGCTCGAAGAGCTCAAACAACGACAAAATTGGTGACGAACTTGATATGAGTTTGTCTACCGTAACGGTGACAACGGCTATGTGGTTATGCCACATGACAGGTGCTCTGGGAAATGACGCGCGAAGTGATCAAGATATTGTCATAGCGACCTTGCGATTGAACTATGGACGCGTACGAGCTATACCAAATCCGTGTGCCATATACACCATTTTTACCCCTAATGCTAATGTCGCTAATGAACCAGTCATTTGAGACCCTCGGACCCCCCCCCCTCCCCCCGCCCCCTTCGGCGATGACCGGGGCATTCACTTTTTATGCAAGTGAAAGCAAGTGGATTCTCCGCTCCCCGGGACCAAAGTGAATGGTGAACTCCCCCGCCCCAATATGACCCACACACACAATACTCCCTTAAAAATTTTACAGCTCTAATCTTGTTACCGCCAAGAACAAGGGATGACAAATATGATGATAGCTGTGGCAGAATTTGCCTGCGAATACATCCGTTTCTACTTGCTCCTCTCCGCTAGGGATAGACTGCTTCCAGTCCGCCTTTTCTCTTTAAATCCGTCTAGTTCTTGACCTCATCCAGCGCGATTGCAAACCACGATGTTATTATGTAGGGATCGAGACGAGACGAGAAAAGACGGACTGCTGACTCGTTTGTAGCAAACAAACCCTCTTTTTTTTTCTACTCGGGCTTACGCCCTCGTTTCTCGCGGCAAGCGGCTTCGCCGCTCGCGTGCTTAGGTTTTGCGTGCAGTAACTTTGCAAAGAAAAATAAGAGACTGCTCGCAGTCTACGCTAGGGACGTTTCCCCTCCCCAGCGGTGAGGAACAAGGAGAAACGGCTGTATTCGCAGGCTACAGCAGCAGCTAATGCAACACCTGTAAACTCTCGAAGGAGAAGAAAAATGACGACAGGAGACGATTACCTGAAGACGACTATTTGATAACGACAAGAAAACAACAAATTTTAACCCATGTTTTACAGTCGTTTGAGATTTTTATAAACAATAAGGCCACTAAAAAGAGGAAAAATAAGACGCGATATTCTCGTACAAATGACACAAACATTTGTCCGCGTCTTAAATAAAACGCGACTCGACTAAGACACACCTGATATGCTTGTATAAATGGTATTGTTTATGTCTTCTTTAAGACCTTTCTTTTGTAAGCCGCGCCTCATTATTCCCCGATTAAATGGCCCCAACGAAACTCAACAGACAACAACAATGATGTGGAGTACAGACCATTATAATACAACTCTAAGAAAAATACTTGTTTATCCAAAAGTAACGACCAGTATGTCTTCTTATTCATTCGAAGCCCTCCTTACGACCGCTCCCGTAAGCGACCGCGACCACTTTTGGGATTACCCAACTGGACTTTTCCTTTGTTTTTAAGCTCTCGTAAGTGACCACTCAGAGTCTTATTCATAAAAATCAACATGAAACTGCACGCTGCGCTGTTGGTTCGTTGGTAAAGATCTGGGGGTTATTTTTGTCTAAAAAATATGGACGTAAAGGTTAGCTCTGTTCATATCAGGTGTAAAGACACTCATTAAACATTTATTTTTTTTATTTTTCTTTATGAATTATTAATGAGTTTTTCGTAAGCGACCAGCTCTAGTTACGACCACTTTTTGGTATTTCGAGGTGGTTGCTTACGAGAGCTTCGACTGTAGATGAAACGTTAATTGATATCTCTTGAGGAGTGATGGTTATTTTAACAGTTATGTTACTATAAATGCAGCGCGAAAATGAAAACCGCTGACTACAGAGTGACTTCCCCGCTTATTCCCGGGTAAGGGAGGTGAAGACCTCCGAATTTCTAGCGTATCCCCCGCCTACAGGGGAACAAAAATGGAGTGAATATGAAGTGAAAGGCCCTGCATTACTCCGCTCATCCCCGATGGTTTCAAATGACTGGTGCATAATTCAGGTGGAAAGAGTTATAGATGTGTGAATACGGTATATTGCTGACGTAATTGTTTTACAATTTGCCTCGTAAGCTTAAGGACTTAATAGCAAAAGACCGCCAGAAATTAAATT